GTCGTGCAGCTTGCGGACGTGCTTCTTGAGGTCAAAGTTCCTGCAGAAGCCTTTGCCGCAGGTGGGACAGGTGAAGGGCTTCTTGTCGTTGTGGGTGTGCATGTGGAAGGTCAGGTTGTACACCTGGTGGAAAGCCTTGTTGCAGATATTGCACTTGAACTGCTTCTCCCCGCTGTGAGTCAGCTTGTGGTTTTTGTAATTGCCTGGGAAGGAGACAAGAAGGGCGAAGGGACCCGGGGATGAGAACCGAGCTCTGCAAAGAGGAGAAAAATAATCCCCCAACCCTGTCCTCCCCGTCCCGGGCGGCTTTAGCCCAAAAACGCCCGCCGGTGTCTGAGCGAACACCCGCCTGCTCCCCGTCCCTCCCGCCGCTCCTCCTTTGCCAGACCAGAAGGAAACTATCGAATAAACCCAAATCACGCCAGCTGCAGAAACAAAACCCATGGCTTCAGCCTTCCCAGCAACACGGGGAGAAAAACCAACCCGACTCCCGCGCTCGGAGGGGAGAAAAGGCGGCGAACTCGTTTTGCCGAAGCGCGCTGGGGGCTGCGCGCCGCGCGGAAAACGGGGGCTGCCCGCGGGAAGGTCCCCCCGAACGAAAGCCTTGCCCCGCTCCTCGGGCTGTGCCGTAGGAAATGTACCGGGGCTAGCGACACTTAAAATTCACCTACATTTCTAATAACAGAAATTAAACTCGAAATCCACTCTTTCCCACCGCCCTCCCCGTCACAACTTGTCCCGACGCTTGACCTCGTCTGGGGCGGGGGGGGTGAGGGGGAGGCAAAGGAGAGGGCGGTGGGGACCGGTACCTTTCTGGTGAAATCCTTTGCCACAGAATTCACAGACAAAAGGTTTGTAGCCGGCGTGTATTCGCGTGTGCGTGTTCAGGGTCGAGCTCCGGTTAAAGGCTTTGCCGCACTGGTTGCACTTGTGTGGCTTTTCCTGGTGGGAAACGAAGGCGCCAAGTCAGGGCTCCTTGTTGTTGGGCTGTAGGGGTCGGGCGGGGGGCTGTAGGGTTCGGGTGATGGGCTGTAGGGTGTGCGGGACGGTCTGCAGGGTTTCTGTGCAAGCTGACGGCTCCCCATGGCTGGAGCGG